TGTTCATAGGTGTGTGGATTAATGTCAGGGTCTTCAATTTTATTTCATTGGTGCATGTGCCTATTTTTATGTCAATACCAAGCTGTTTTTATTACTATAGCTCTATAGTAGAGCTTGAAGTCAAGGATGGTGATGCCTCCATAAGTTCCTTTATTGGGCAGTATTATTTTATTGATTCTGGGTTTTTTATTTTTCCATATGAAGTTGAGTATTGTTCTTTCAAGGTCTGTGAAGAATTGTGTTGGGATTTTGATGGGGATTGCATTGAATTTATAGATTGCTTGGTTACTATTTTTATTATGCTGATCTTACATATCCAAGAGCATGGGAGGTCTTTCCATTTTCTTCTTCAATTTCTTTCACTACAGACTTAAATTATTGTCATACAGGTCTTTCAACATTGTTCATAGAAGCATTACTTGTAATAGCCAAAATCTGAAAACAACCTAAATGCCCCTTAACAGAAGAATGGGTAAGGAAAATGTGGTACATTTCCACAATGGAGTATTACTAAGCTGTATAATACAATGACACCATGAAATTTGCAGACAAATGGTAACCCAGATTCAGAAAGACAAACATGGTATGTACTCATTCATAAGTGGATATTAAATGTAAAACAAAGGATAACCAGACTACAATCCACAGCTCCAGAGGAGCTAGCTAACAAGGAGGACCCTAAAAGGGACACATGGGTCACCCAATGAAGGGATATTAGATGAGATGTCCTGGGTAAACTGGGGGTGAGGAGGCAGTAAAGGGGAGGGGATAGGGGATGAAAAAATGACGGAATGGGATGGTCGAGGTGGGGGAGGGATGCAGTGGAAGACCAATGAAAGAGATATCTTAGTAGAGAGAACCACTATGGACTTAGGGAAAAACCTGGTGGTAGGGAAATTCCCAAGAATACATAAGGATGACTCCAGCTAAGACTCCTAGCAATAGTGGAGAGGGTTCCTGAACTGGCCTTCCCCTGTAATCAGATTGGTAAATACCCCAACTGTTACAGAGCCTTCGTCCAGTAATTGATGGAACCAGATGCAGAGGTTCACAATCAAACACCAGGGTAAGCTCCGGGAATCCAGTCGAAGAGAACGTGGAGGGAATATACAAGCAAGTGAGGTCAAGATCATGATGGAGAAATGTACACAGACAGCTGAACCAAGTTCATGGAAACTCATGAACTCTAGACCGACAGCTGAATAGCCTCCAGGGGACTGAACTATCCCTGGTGCATGAGCTAGCTTGTTTGAGCCCATTCCCTATGAGGAGATGGTATGCTTAAACTTAATGCAGGGGGGAAGGGCTTGGCCCTGCCCTAACTTAATGTATCAGACTTTGTTGACTTCCCATGGGAAGACTGGATGGGGGTTGGGCTGGGGGAGTAACAAGAAAGGGGGAAAAGGGGTGGGAAGGAGAACTGTGGTTGGAATGTAAAATGAAATTAAAAAATAAATACATTTTAAAACAAAAGGAAGCCTACATAATCTAGTTCCATTTCAAAGATGCACAATGCACATTGAGCTATCAAAAGTTCTGGGAAGTTCTACAGCCCAATTTGTTCTCAGCTTTACTCACCATGGAACCTTTTTGGTTAATGCCTAAACCACATCTTCAAACTGACCGGTTAGTTCCATTCAGAGGAGCCTGGTCAAAGTTTGCCCTCCAAAGGCTTCCTCACTTCAGATAGTTAGCATGCCCCCTGCTGGCTCATGTGGCAAGGGAATTAAACAAGCTATTTCCATCCTCTAACAAAAACTCCTGTTCATGTCCCTGCAGTTTTGACTAGATTTTCGGTTCCGTTTAATTTGCTGTCGTAGAAAAATCACAGCTCACTGCAGTCTGATTACAAAACCAAAGAGTTTTTCAATTTTCAAAACTTTGTTTAGTGTGTGTGTGTGTGTGTGTGTGTGTGTGTGTGTGTGTGTGTGTTTATGTAGGTACTCACTCCACAGAGTGTGTATAGAAGTTAAAAGACAACTTTGGGGAGTCAGCTCTCATCTTTCACCTTCATGTGGGTTTTGGGAATGGCTAGCTCACAGAGGATGAGTAGTACCTAGCTAAACAAAAAGGCTCCACTCCAAATCCTCCCTCCTTCCAGTGTGAATCTCTATGTCTTCCCGATGCCCTCTGGTGCTCCAGGATTACTTTCTGTTAACTAGTTGCTAACTCAGCGTCTTGACCCAAGGTTAATTTTATTAATGATCAAATATCCTCTCGAAGTTTTACTTCACCTTTTTTTCCACCCCTAAATCCCACAAGTGAGAGAAGATGTGTGTGTTTTTGTTTGTGAGCCTGGCTCCACATGAAGATAAACAGTCCGTCCATTTTCCCCAAAAAAGGATGCTTTTATTTAAGGTTTAGTAAACTTTTCAGCTCATTCTGCCTGTTGTGTACCTTGGCTATTGTAAGCAGTGTATGGATGGCAGGTAATTTAATTCCTTTGGGTAAAGAGTTGGATCAATCATAGGTCTGATCTAGTTTTTTGAGGACCCTCTGTACTGATTTCCATATAGCGCATGCAAATTTACACTCCCACCAACAATGCATTGGGGTTCTTCATTCCTCAACCTCACTAACATGTTTGTTTGCTTATTTTCTTGTTAGTAGCCAAATCAAGTAAGATAGAATTCCAATTTTGCTTAACCTGCATTTCACTAATGTCTAAAAATGCTGAACATTTTTTTATGCTATTTGTATTTCTACATTTGAAAGGAGTTTGTTCAGTTCATTTGTATGTTTATTGTATGTTTGCTCCTCTAGTGTTTTAATTTTGTGAGTTCGCTCTTTGTGTGCTCTGGGTAGCAATTGCCTGTTGGATGAGTAGCTGGCACAGACCCCCCCTGCTTCTGTGGCTGCACTAGGTCTTTAAGTCTTAGTACTATTTCCTCAGCTACCATAACCCTTCTCAAAGTGGCTTCGACCCTGCCTGCATCTTGTAGTGTTTCCAGCATGTTTTCTCAGTTTCAGATTTTGGGTCCTACATTAAAGTCCTTGATCCATTTTGATTAATTTATGTACATGGTGAGATTTTTACACAGAGACCCAGTCTCACTCATGTGCACGCAGACATCTAGTCTCCTAGCATCACTTTGAAGAGGTGGTCCCTTTTCCACTGTGTGTTTCCTCTTCTTTTGTCAAAAGCCAGATGGCTGGAGCTTTAAGAATTTATTTCTGAGCCTCTTGAGCCACATCTCCAGCCCAAGTGTCACCACTTTGGGTGGTTATAATTGTTAAAATGATATCATGATCATTTCTAGGAGGAAAAAAATAGAAACAAAAGGATTATGGAGAACAAGATGGGGAAAATAAAGTACCTTATAGAGTGTTTTATTTGGAAAGACCTTAGTTCATTCCATAGTTTTTATAGACTGCTGTGTAATTTGAGAGGAAAATCTGAAAGTATTTTCTACAAATAGTCTTTCACAATTTGTCTTGTTTACTATCCATTTTAGAACAATGCATATTGCTGGCAGAATTTTCCAACAAAATGGCCATTTTGTTTGAATAAACAAAGGCTCAGTGGCACACACAGCTGCTCCCTGATCCCACATGGGTTGACAAGAGCTGGGCAACCTGCTTCTCTTTTCTGTCTTTCCCTTCTTTTCTCCATTTCATTGTCTCATGAGGATTTCTCCAAGAGGCCTTTACTCCAGAGAAGCAGCAGCCCTGGCTGCAGTCGATGACTCTCCTGGAACAAAGGTCCTGATGTTCCAGATTTCAACATCTTAAGAAAATCCTTGAGATCACATGTTATGAAGCATTTGCCAAGACTCTTGGAGAAACACAGTCAGTGTGGCAGCCTCAGTTCAAACTTTCTAGAATCCAGTCCCCAAAGCCCCATCTCAGTATTCAAAGATGGATCCCTGCCATAATCAATGACAACACTAAAATGCGCAGGCTCTGGAGATGGCTCATTGGTTGAGTACAAACCGCTTAGGAGAGGACCCGTGTTTCCTTCTCAGCATCCTTGTCAGGTCTCACAATTGCTTATCAGGGCCTCCAACACCCTCTTCTGGCCTCCACAGGCAACTGCACAATGCAGCTTACATATATGTGCATACACACAAATAAAAATTAAAAATACATTTTTAATGCAGATTCCTGGGCCTGCCTGGGACTCTGTTTCTGAAGTGAGGAGCTGCAGCTTTTCTTCTGACTTGTGGCTTCTCAGTACCCATGCAGTCACCTGAGGCAGCATCAGCCCTATGAAGCGCTGCGTGCGTGACTTGGTCAAACACTAAGAGCTGAGCGGTGCTACCTCAGGAGTGGCCAAAATAAAGGACAAACAAAAATTCAATTTTGTTTTGATTTGCCAAAGAAGTGTTGGTGGGTCTGAGGAAGTGTGGCAAGGCAAACAGTAACGGTGTTTGCATGCAGGAAGGAATTCTGAGTCAAGGGCTAAACTCTGGGATTTCTCAGCTCCAGAGTTCACCATGACATAGCCATTTCTTTGATTCTTAACCCTGGCAATTCTTTGCAATGCTCAGGACTTGGCTTTTTAACAATATCTCTCTGAGCTGACTATATCAGAACCTGAGGTTGTATCTGGGGCTCCTTGTTATTTTAATAGCCCAGAATGACTGTCCTGTGACCCAACCAGCAGACATACCACTGCTCTGTGACACACAGAAACAGCTGGGCTCTATGAGGCTAGGTCCTTGGGGACCATTCTTTCACCTCTGGTTCTCACCTCCTAAGCAACCATACTTAAGATTTTTATTCATTCATTCATTCATTTATTTCCATACCAACAGGCAAATAATTTTGCCTAGTATTTTCATGCCATAATTATGAAGCAGTTTTTATCTTAGATCAATGGCTAGCAGTTTTATAACTTACAAATTAGTAACAATGCCTGTGTTTGAAATGGAGGTACTATTTGTAGAATTTTGTGACCTGTTGCCTAGTAACTGTACCTAAGATCACTAAGCTGCTCTGTGAGCAGTCAGATTTCAGAATCTCAGTCAGCTCAGGAGATAGCTCCTGCTACTAGAAGGGAATGAGCGTTTTGCTATGCCCAGGGCTTGAAAAGCTGTAACTTAGCAGCCCACCCATAGTCATGTCGCACTTCTTCTACTTGGCTCCAGAAATTCTGCTTCCCTTTAGCCCTCTCACTTCAAAAGAGTTCGAACTGATCAGAAGCAAGGCCCGAGAACTATGGCTGGACGAGACTCGGTGGTCTGCTTCCTCGGTGACAACATACTCTGGCAGTTACCGGAAAAAGCAACTGGATGAGGACGCGTGCAACCGGCTGGCCCAAAGAGCAGGCCAGAGGCAGTTTGAGTACAAACAGTAAGATTCCTTTGTAATGTGTGCCAAGATTTGTTGCTATCAAGAGACAGGTGCTGTTAGGAAGGGGTATCTGAGAGCTGGAGACACTTTAAAGATGTTCACCTGTCTGCTTCCTGTATACATATCACTTACTAGCATGGCTCCAACCCCAAGATGGTATATAACAACTTATTACTGGATGATATGAATTAGAGGGCTTAAGTAACAGATAATTTTATTTTGCAAACTTGTCTATTATTACCTTTTTTTATTGTGTGCGTATATGTGTGGTCTGTGGGAAGGTCAGAGGCAACTAACAGGTTGAGTTTTCTCCTTCGATCCGCTGAGTTCCTGGAATCAAACTCTGGTCACTGGGCGTGTTATCCTCGGAGTCATCTTGCTGTCCCCATCCCCTCCCCCCTTTACAGATAGGATCTCCTGTGTCCTAGACTGGCCCAGGACAGCCGTAAACTCAGGATCATTCCCCTCCTGAGTAAGAAAGCAGTCATGAGCCACCATGTTCAGTTTATGTGTGTGGTACTGGGTATCAAACCCAGGGCTTCACTGAGGATGGCAAGCCCCTACCAACCGAGCCACAGCCTTGGGCCTAAAGTGGAGCGTCAGAGAATTTCCTTTGTCTCTGTAGTCTTTCCCTTTGTGAAAAGTGATCAAACCCACCAGTGCTGCACCCTAGGGCTTATGGGTGCCTGCAAGAGCTGAGGCCCAAAGACATTTCCAAGAGTGTATTGGGAAGCCAGGCCCTACAGTAGGCCACAGTCAAAAATTAATTCCAGTTCCATTCCACAACTATATTATAATACTCAGCTCATGGAAGGAGGTTTGGTTCATCAGCAGGTCCTGGAGAAGAGAGTTTAATCTAGTGAGAGTTTGATAAAGCAACCTTCCCCATGGTAGGGAATGATAAAACCACACCCTTCGAGGAAGGTGTGAACACCTGGGCAAAGGGCCCTGGAACCACCCCCACACACACCAGAGGTTACAGGTAGCTCAGTGCGCATGACCAGAAAGTGTAAGTCAGGACTCCAGAAAACTCCAGGGCTAATAATAAAATCTGTCCCTTTGGGTGTTATTTAATAAATATCAAAATTCTGGAAATGTCTTTGAAAACACACTGGATTTTTGGCTCCAATTCCTAATGTAGGAATAATCTACATATGGCTCTAATAAATAGTTATGGGGCTGGAGAGATGGTTTGGCTGTTCTTATGTAGAACCAGAATTTGACACCTAGAATGCATGTTGGGTTAGTACCTGTAACTCCAGCTTTAGGAGAAAGGATGTCTTCTGGCCTTTGTAGGCACCCATCTGCATGTGGGCATCTCTAAATACAACAGACCCTTGCAGCAAACTTCTTGTTTAATATATTTAATAGACATGTGGTGAACATGTCCATAACTTTGAATGTGTTTCTCATTGTGTGATTCATCCCAGTCAGGGAGCCCAAGACATTGAAAAACCACAAAAGGGCACATGCTTGTGAAGTTTATCTGTTGTTTTGGGAGTCTCACAACTACTGATCTGTCAGAGGCTAAGAAGCAGCAATGATTGTGAAAGGCAGACTGAGCTTAATTGCAAAGCACTGATTGCATACTGTATTGTTTTGTTTTAAATCTCTTTCCTTACTAACTTTTGTCCTGAGGAGAGATGTCTTCTAAAGTTTTAAGCAAAAGCCATTTGATTAAAAATTCTGCGAAACTGTAGAGAGACATCGTTTATGGCTCTATAAGGTCTTCCATGTAAATACTCTGCTGGTGAAAGGGTGCAGGGCATTGTTTCAGAAACTGGCTTCTGGGGCAGCGAGGGTATCAGAATACAAATGGAAATGATCATTTAAAATGTATCAAGCCAGGCTGGGCAGTTGTGGTACATGCTTTTAATCCCAGCAAAGACAAGCTGATCTCTCTCTGTGAGTTCAAGGGCAGCTTAGTCTACAGAGCAACTTCTAGGACAGGCTTCAAAGCTACAGAGAAACCCTGTCTCAAAACAAACAACAAAAACCCCCAAACAAAACAAAAAACCTTTGAAAATTATTAAATGGACAGAACTAGAAAAAGACCATCCTGAGGCAGGTAACCCAGACCAGAAAGACAAATATAGTATGTACTAACTCATAAATGGATACCAGACATAAAGTAAAAGATACCCAGGCTACAACCCACAACCCTAGAGAAGATAGAACCCTCTTCCAGAAACAGATGGAAGCAGATGCACAAATCCACAACTAACCATTGGGCTGAGCTCCTGGAGTACAATCAAAGTGAGGGAGGAACAATAATATGAACAAAGGAGTCAAGACCATGATGGGGAAACCCACAGAATCAGCTGACCCAAGCTAGTGAGAGATCACTGACTCAGGTCTGACAAATGGGGGATCTGCGTCAGACTGAACTAGAATTCCTGAATACAGGTGACAATGGTGTGATTGGGACAATATATGAGGCCACTGGCAGTGAGTCCAAGATCTAACTCTAATGCACAAACTGACTTAGTGGAGCCCATTCTGTATGGAGAGATACCTTGCATAGACACAGGAGGGTGGGGGGTAAAGAGGTGCCTTTGTCCTGCCTCAATGAGATGATGGGACAGACTTAGTAGACTTCCTAGGGGAGGCCTCACCCTCTCCCAGGAGCAGATGGGAGGTGAGGGGGAGGAACAGAAGGAGAGAAGGGAAGGAGAATTGGAATATAAAAAATAAATTAATAAAAAATGCTAAAATGTATCAAGTCAGGAAAATGCTGTTCATAGAACACAATACTTTTCATTCATATTTATCCTGTGTTGCAATGACATCTTAAACCACACTGTTTGTTCTTAATTATCCTTAATTGTCAACTTGCCACTTTACTGTCACCTGGCAGGAAAGTCTCCACTGAGGAAATAGGTAGGTCAGATGTGGGCATGCGTGTGAGGAATTGTCTTGATTATCTATTGATCGGAAAGGCTCAACCCACTGTGAACAATACCTTCCCTAGGTGGTAGACCTGGCTGTGTAGGAAAGCTAGCTAAGCATGAGCCTGTGAGTGAGTCACATGGGACGTGCGAGTAGGTTACCCTACTTTGACTTCCAGCTCCAACTTCCCTTATCGATGGATAGAGTGTGATTTCGAAGCAAGTGTAAAATGGAACAAACCCTTTCCTTCTAGAAGCTGCTTTTGTGGCAGTGTTTTATGGCAGCAACTAAATGAAATTAACATACTGCACGGGAAAAAGAAACTGGGGGGGGGGCTCAATCATTTCATTATAAAACAGCTTTAATTCATAAATTTCACAGTGCACACAAAAGCACCACATGTGCTGTGGGCATCAGAGATGCACTGTAAGGAACTCACACTAGTATGAAGGTTAGGGTCAATCCTCGTTGTCTGCCAACATTAAAACGAGAGAAGCATTGTATTTTAGAGCTGCTAAGCCAGGCATAGAGTGCCACTGTAATTTGTTGTGCAGCCAAAGGGTCAAAACCAGGCCTTGCCCCATTAGACAGATGCTCCATTGCTGAGCCACACCCAGCCCCTTGAAGCTGGACTCGTTCACTAATTAAACATTTACTTAGGTCCTATTATACTTAAGGTCTTAACTTAGATATGCCAGTTCTAAAAGTCATGGCCCTCCAAGTGCTTATCACAAGGAGAAAGAAAGGCCACCAAGGGAACCTGGGGGACTTGCCATTTAAGCAAAGAGGGTGACAAAACAAAACACAGTCTTACTATATCACACCTGAAATGTTTAGGTATTTTCTTAGGCCATGAAAACTTAGTGTCCACCCCACAAACCCAACACAGAATATTTATAATACTTTCCTTCATAATTGACATAAACTGGAAGGAGACAATAGGTAAACAGAGAAATGATGCTACATCTATACAATGGAATATTATCCAGTGATTTTAAAAAAGATATGAGTTATCAGGCTATGGAAAGCTATGGATGAGTCTTAGATCAATATTTCAAAGTTAAGACGTATGAAGTTACACATTACATATTGCAAACATGCACTCCCAAAAAGGAAATGCATACAGTATACAGAGCACTGTTTCCAGAGGATGGGCAAGAGTTAAACAGATGAAGTGCTCTGATGTTTCTGGGCTGTGAACTTGTTATGTGTGGTGCCATACTGGCTAACACAGACATTAAATATTTGTCAAAATGTATAGCACTTCATAGCATGAAGAGTAAACTTTATGCAAATTAATACAACATTTAGGAGTTTGAGAAAGCTAAAAATAGAAAAAAGAAGTTGAAAAATATGAATATATTATGGATATGTGAGATGAGCTCACTGGGCATGCCATTAAAGGCTGACGTCAGTAAATTTGGAAGTTGGTCGGGGTTTAAAGATTAGGGAACTGTGAACAAGCACGGTTTTATGACTGGCAAAGTTGTTTCCCATTGGGTTTGAGCAATAATTCCCAAATTATTATCTGTATAAGCTAGAATTGAGCAATTCAGTATGGGTGGTAGGTGATGGAAGCCAAGATTTTTATGGGAGCAGGAAGTAAATGATAAAAAGTAGATTCTAGAAATGACCCCTGTCATAATAATCAAAATTAGATACTTCCTTAGTGTAGTATATTTAGAGATAATAATATGTAGAAATAATTATACTTATGTGTCTATATACAGGTTATTGTATATTTCCTCATTCCCTGCTCAATCCATGTTAGTGTAGACCTTTACACAAAAGGGCCTTGAAGCAATATTTTGCAAGAGCAGGAATATCAAGTGCCCTGATTTTGGTTCCTGCTAAGTTTTCTCCAGTACAAAGGAATCACAAACATATATGTTTTCAGGGCTGACCATCTGGTGTTGGATAGTAAATTGATGTACTCTTTCTTGGGCAAGACAATTTCTCCCACTCCCAGAACTCCGTAGCTGCCTGTAGTTACATAGTGTTGAGGCCTCCTGGTCTTTTCCCTGTCCCCTGACCTCCCTCTTCTGGTTCAGATTATCATGTCTACTGCTGTCCTGTTCAGCTCATGTTCAGGCATCATGCTGGTGACTTTA